CACACACACACACACACACACACACACACACACACACACACACACACACACACACACACACACACACACACACACACACACACACACACACACACACACAATGGCGCGTGTAATAGCGGTGGCTGCCCAGGGTCGCATTGAAATGGGCTGTGATTGGTCCACATGCGCTGGAATGGAATGATGATGGCCTCAAGTGGATCGCAGTGGCCTGACAGTACTCTACTTGCACTAATCACTGGCATAACAAGGGCACATGAGACTGCTGGAGAGTAGCTGCGTCAGGGCAAATGATCCACAGTCGACTCAAGGAAGGTGAGTGAAGCAGGCAGAAGGTCGCCAACGCTCAGCCACGAGGGTGTCTATAGCGCTACAAGGGATGGCAGGCTGGTAACGCACCCTCAACAAGCTCCCACCCTCAGCACACACTCCGCCCCCGCACCTGTGCAGCTGTGCTGTGCCATGGGCATGTCGCGCCATTCGCAATCTGCCGCACGCACTCAAAAAGCGGCTCTATTCATTTACAAGCACATCCCCACACCGCCAATGAAGTCGAGTGGAGCCAAACTTGGAATGTCACCCGCAGCATTGACAGGCCCATCAGTCATAGGCCCAGGCCGTTCCACTTCATCAATGCATTACAGGGGCCCTTATCACAAATGAGTATTTCTTACAAGAGAAGCATCTTATCGGACTCTTACAGGCGTTTGCCATTGTTCCGTCCGTGCTCGTCACGGAAACCCGTTTGGCATCTGCCCCCTTTTCTGACCAAATCATCGGATTGCCACCGTCATCACCCGGTGAAAGTCAGCCATCATGTTGCCTGCTGGCCAGACTATCGCCAGCGGCCCCGACAGCGCACGCAAGCGCGGCAACGAGCTCTTTGTCGCCGGCCGTTACGCCGACGCGGCCGCTGCCTATTCCGCCGGCCTGGCAGACGCTGGCATCCGGGACGTCGAGCGCGGAACGCTGCTGAGCAACCGCGCCGCAGCATACCTGAAGCTCGGCGACGCGCCCGCAGCCGCCGCCGACGCGCGCGCCGCCCTCCGCCTGCAGCCATGCAACGCGAAGGCGCATGCGCGCCTGGCGCGCGCGCTGCCGCGCGGGGACGTGCTTGAGGCGCCCGCCGCCGTGGCGGCGGCGGTCGCGCTGCTGGGCCCCCACCTGGACGCTGAGCTGGTCAGCTTGTACGCCGCCGTCCGCGACGCCACAGCCGACGCCGTAGCAGCCGCTGCAGCGGCGGCCTCCCCATCAGCGCCGCCGCCCGCCGAGCCGCCCGCGGGCCCGGCGGCGGTGCTGCCCCTACCGCGCGATCCCGCGGCGGTCGCGCTCGCCTCCACGTGGCGCGAGGCGGCGGCTGCCGCGGCGGCCGGCGCCGAGCTCGTTGTGCTGCAGCCGGGCGTATACGAAACTGCACTTGGCTACATCCCATGCTCGGTGCTCGGCCTCGGCGGCGCAGAGCTGCGTTCCGCCGGCAGCCACGTCATCCAGCACGCCGCGGCGCGCAGGCGCCTGGTGATCGCAAACATGCGCCTGGGCGGCACCGGCCGTGCCGCGGCGGCGTGCGTCTGGGGGGCGGGCGCGCAGCTGTCGCTGATTGGCTGCACTGTCGCGGGCCGCGACGACGTCGGCGTGCTCGTCACCCTGGGCGGGATTGCCGCCCTGGAGGGCTGCAAGATCTCAAACACCTCCAAGCAGGCGATAGAGGTTCGCGAGGGCGGCCGCCTGTCCGCGGCGCGGGTCACTGTCGAGGACTGCATGCAGGGCGTGGCCGCCGCCGGCGGCGCGCGGTCGGTTGTGCTGCGCGAGTGCTCCATCCTGCGCAGCCGCTTCGAGGGTTTGATGCTTCAGGGCACTTACACAAACGCGGTGTCAGAGGCGCAGGCGGTCTTGCTGCAGCGGCAGCAGCAGGCTCCGCTGTCCGAAGGTGCCGTGCAGTAGGGACAGGCGGGCCCGGGGGGAGGGGGGAGGCAGCAGGTTGCTACTTGCTCACACGGCTGCCCCGCTGGGATGACGGGCGCACAGCATCCGCTTGTTTGAGTGCGGTCCTGTGCTGGAGGCTCGCACCCGCTGGCAATGCTTGGGCTCCGAAGCGCCCTGCATAGCATTCAGTTGTGTGATCACCAACTCGCTCATTCGAGCGCTCGCTGGGCGCCCCTGCCCCTCCCCTCTTGTTCCCTCGCCCCCGCAGCCGATGCCCACGGCCACCTCGTCTCGGCGCAGGCCCAGGCGTCAGGCCGCCGGCTTGGCACGCCGCTCGACGCCGCCCTGTTTGGCTGCACGATCGCCGGCAGCGGCGGCTTTGGCATCTCCGCTGACATGGGCGCCAACGTCACCCTTGCCGGCTGCCGCCTGGAGCTCAACAGCCCCATTTCTGTGTTCATCAAAGGCGGCACCGACGCCACCCTTATCGGCTGTCAGATAATCTACAGCGGCGCCAAGCCAAGCCACCCCTCGCAGTTCGCCCCGCCTGGCACGCGGCAGTCGGGCGCCAGGGTCGCCGTCAACTATGCAGGCGCCGTCGTGGTCGCGGGCTGCGCCTTCGCCGGGCCCCCGGGTCTCGCCGTCCACGAGGAGCTTGCCGGCGCCGCGGCCGGCGGCGCCCGCCCCGGCGCACGTGCCGGCAACGCCGGCCGCGTCGCCGCGGAGATGCGGCGCGCGGGCATGTGGTCGCGGCCGGCGGCGCTGCGGGACAACGCATACTTTGCGTCGCCGGCCGACCCGCGCTTCCCCAGCCTCGCTGAGCTGGCGGGCCGGCTGCCCGCGCACCAGCGCGCCGGCGCGCGGGCGGCGGCGGCTGGCGCCGGCCGTGAGCGGCGCACGC